CAATATAGAGTGGGTCCCACAACTAATCCTCATTTTCTGAACAAAATGGAGTTCCTTTCCGTTAAAAGGCCTGTAAGTTTTATAGCGCCTGCCAGGGCTGGTCTAGAGATTTTTGAGGGCCAGAGTGACGCCAAAAAATGTGCCCTCACTTTATATAAGAAAATTATTTATTTTCACACGTAAGACATCGATAAAATTATACTTAGAAAAACATTTCAAACTTAATAATTTAGAAACACTAAAAAATTAATTTATTTTGTGTCGTGAGAAGGAAACAACAAAACTCCATGTTTTGTTTTCCATATGAACTTTTGAAGTGTTTTTGTATAAACCGTGAGGTGTTTTTTCTTATTTACTAACCTTGTCAATATGGGACTAAAAAAATAATGATGTTTTTGAGTCTTTAATTAATATGTATAAGTAATGAATGGATACTAAATTAAAGTTTTTGATGACCTGTCATAAGATTTGCAAATTTTATCTAAAAATTTGGTCAACGCATTACTCTTTGTTGAAAATTAGACTTGAATTGAAACAAATGTTTAAAAATAACAACCCACGTAGCTATTAGCTACTAATTAAAAAAAAATTAACAACCAAACAAAAATTCGTAAAAATTTTAAAGAATAAACATGCACTTAGCACTTCGAACTTAGGATCTCTCGTTAATTTTAAACAAAAAAAACACCATTGATTCTTATTAATCGTCTTGATCATTTAGCCAAATTTTATATATTTATACTCTTATGATAAGAAATTTGTAAAAATTGAAAAGTAAATAAGCACACATGGTGTTTTGAACCCAAAACCTCCTCATTAATTTTAAACAACAAAACCACCAATTCTAGTTAAATTTTTTTATCATTGAACCAAATTATATATATTTATATTTATACTCTTATGAAAACATATATAAATATACTACCCTAATAATTTTGGTGCCCCCAATTATTTTGGGCCCTAAAAGGTTGCCCTGCTAGCATTGGGCATGTGTCGGCCCTAGCGCCCACACATTGTTTTATGTCAATAATGTAGTTGTGACACCCCACATTGCCCAGGGGAGCGATCCTTAAATGTATATTCCTATCCCTACCTAGCATGAGGCCTTTTGGGAGCTCACTAGCTTCGGGTTTCATGGGAACTCCGAAGTTAAGCGAGCAGCGCACGAGAGCAATCCCATGATGGGTGACCCACTGGAAAGTTGCTCGTGAGTTCCCAAAAACAAAACCGTGAGGGAATGGTAAGCCCAAAGCAGACAATATCGTGCTACAGTGGTGGAGCGGGCCCGGGAAGTGATCCGCCCTGGGTCGGGATGTGACATTGGTATCAGAGCCTATCCCTGGTCGTGTGTGTGCCGACGAGGACGTCGGGCCCCTAAGGGGGGTGGATTGTGACATCCCACATCGCCCAGGGGAGCGATCCTTAAATGTATATTCCTATCCCTACCTAGCATAAGGCCTTTTGGGAGCTCACTGGCTTCGGGTTTCATGAGAACTCCGAAGTTAAGCGAGCAACGCACGAGAGCACTCCCAGGATGGGTGACCCATCGGGAAGTTCTCGTGTGAGTTTCCAGAAACAAAACCGTGAGGGCGTGGTCAGGGCCCAAAGCGGACAATATCGTGCTACGGTGGTGGAGCGGGCCCGGGAAGTGGTCCCACCCGGGCCGGGATGTGACAGTAGTGACGTGTATAATTTTTGCTGATTTTAGTCGTTGAATTATCACCTCAGTGAAAATTAGGTCCATAAATTATTTTTCGGTAATATAAGTCTCTAAATTCAGAAAAACTACCTATTTCATCCCTGATATGATATCTAAAGCTATCTTATCCAATTTTTCATCAACTTAAAGTCAAATGACACATTTTAAAGGGTAATACCGTCACTTTCTTGCCTAGAAGCCTTTAACATTGTATGTTCTGTGAATCTAACGTCTAATTCACCCTTTAAAGTTAACTCTATACATTATTTCTTTGAAAAAAAAAAACCCCTTAAACTATGAAAAACGATTAATCTACCCTTCAAAGTGCATCACATATAAGTTACATGAGTTAAATTGACAAAAAATTTGAATGAAATAGCTCTGAATCTAATATTATGGATATAGTTAAAAAAATTATATTAATTTTTGAAACTAATTCTTTCAAAAATAATTTAAGAACTAAATTGAAAGTTTACCCATAATTATTTAGGCTTTTTATATTAGTACCTCACAAAATGTTGAATGCACCCCACATTAAAATTTAATATTGAATGATTTATTTATCCAACCATGCAATGACAATTTTGACCTTATGAGGTTTTTTAAAATTAAAAAAAAAATCTAAATACACCTCAAATCACTTTTAAAGTATTATTTATCTTCTTCAACTATCAAAATCCCTTCGACCCTCTATTGTTGAACAAAACCCTAACCAATGAAACTACAAACATGTTGATTGAGAAAATTTATTTTTGATGAATGAAACACGAAATCGATGTTTCGGAAGCTTCACATGAGATAAGACTTCATATTTTTTTTTTTATTGTTTTAGTGATTTTGATGACATCAATAATTATTTTATCTTGCTTTTGCTGTGCTGTTCAAGCTTCTATATTCGTATTTATCTTTTAGGGATTACATGGATTACATGAAGAATTAAACACCTAAAATTATCATCAAATATTAAAAACAGACGACATGAGTTTTAATGGTGAAATTGAAAAAAACCCACATATGCTTTAAATCCTAGGCGGCATCTTTAGTCAAAATTACAGTCGGCATTTTTTGTCCAAATTAAAAGCTTTATAAGATTTGAGAAATGTGGGGTATATAGAAAATATGGATGCATGTAAAAAATATAAGGTGTATTGAGAATGTGAGGTATGAGGGTATCATGGAAAAGTATGTGAAGTGTATTAAGATAATTTTCATTGAAAAAGCAAATATAAAATGCATTAAGTATGTGAGGTTTATTTAACAATTTATGAAATGTTAATATAGTAAGTCATTATTTATTCCTAAGTTCCTAACATGTAAGTTGCATTGCAAGCTAATTCCATCCACGTGCTGCGTGCATCAAATATTTGGCAACCACCTATTTAATGTACGGGAAATTAGTTAAAAACATAACAGCCGGGATAATTTCAAAGTTGGCGGGGTTTGGTTTTGTCGTAAAGCGGTCACAGGAAGCTGCACACAAACCCGTGCATACACAAGCCTATCCTCGTTCAAAAACGTTACACCACACGCTTCCAGCACTCCCAATGGATCTTAACGGCCGTCCCTGTTATTACTGATCACACGTGGCGTTTATTTTTATTATCAATAATATTAGGAAGATCAAAATTTTAAGTTAAATTTACAAATCAAATAATGTATCACAAATAAAAAATAAGTACATTACTTAATATTTAAATAACAATTCAATTATTAACAATTATGTTATTTAGTTTAATTTTGTTAAAAATTTGCCGTGCTTATCATTATCCTTTTATACAGATAAATTTTCAGATAAGAGTAGCCATGTCACTATCTTGTGGGGTCCCACCGAAGAATTTGTAGAGGCACGCAGCTGTGAGTGTGAGTGAGGTGTATTGATAATTCTCTTGGTGTTATGGCAGTAGCCATTTTGTCGACACGTGGAGATATAGGCCACATTTTGAAGTTTCTAAATATTCTGTAATTATTATATATCGTCAATGTGACTTGTTACTCTGTAATTTAACGTTACTATTGGTTCTTACTATGATATGTAATCTATTTAAAAATACTTATAGTGTTTCAAATCACTGTCACGTGTTTCATAATATAAACCAAACTTTAGACATTCTTACCAAAATATGTGTACATAAGTTTCTCTTGATGGAACGACATAAATTGATTAGAACTTACATTTTTTTTTTTTTTACACAAAACGATAGGTGTTTTATTATAAAATTAAGAATTGATACAATATTAAAGAGAAGATTCAACCTAAAAAAAAAACTTTAACATAAAATAAAAGGTCTACTTGACCAAATTAATTGCCACCGTACCAATGGATTTGAGGGTGAGACATGCTTGAGAATAAGCAAAGGAAGGCATTCAAGTCTTGAAATCATCCAAACGTAAATTCAGAGGACTGAGATGGCCCTATGAAAACTCCATTCTTGAGGAAAACTTCTACGTACAAAGCCTTGAATATAATGAACATGAAGACACCCTTTGACAACGAGTAGCGCTAACTCTAAAGAGGAACTAACAACGAACTAACTAGTGTCCATACCATAATGAGTTTTATGTGTAACACCATGAACAAAGATACTGATTCCAACAAAGTAGACCCATATGAGCCAATAACACACTAACACAAAATTAAAATACTCACATATAATCTCACCAATGAGGCACTTATTGACGAAAATATTAAGACGGAAAATAAAAAAGCAACCATATATGAGAAGATAAAGGAGGAAGGCTATAAAAAATGGAGAGAGAGGTTGCCACCGATTCCAAGCCAAAGCAAGGGGCTGGTGGCTTAGAAGTTGTAGATTTAGGGTTTGGGAGGAGGAAAGAGAGAGGGGAGGGAGTTTTTTTTAATGAAATATTAGAGCATCTCCAAAAAAGATGTCAAAATCTAATTGAAGATTTCACTGTGCAAGCTTAACATAAAAAATCGTTTCAACCAAAATGTCATTGATTAACTGAATTTGAACTCTTTATGATTAGGAGTAAAAATTGATAAGATTTCAAATTACCACATCAATCATTAATTATAACTTGACATTTTTATTGAAGATGATCTATTCTTACTCAAAAGAAATGTCGACATTATGTTGATAACTAATTAAGCGAGTGTAAGCAAAATTAATCCTAGTAGCATATGAAAGCATCACGACGTGTGCCATCACAGTGTCTGCAGATCATCTCCAAATCCACGTGGCACATTATTGTTGGTGAATAAAAAACTATTTTTGGAAATACAAAACCCACCGAGAAATTGGACAAAACATTTATAAATTAAAAGTCTCATAAAAAAATTACAACAAAAGTGAAAAGCAAAAGAAATAAAAAGGAGGAGGGAAGGAAGGAGAGGGACTGGCACTTTTCAGAGAGCTTCATTTCTGAGTGGAAGGGATAAGCAGAGCAGCAGCCAACAAACAGGCAAGCGACCTTCCCGCGAGCGCACCGAGACACTCGTACAACCGCCCGCAGGGAAGTCATACACCAAACGGCGCGATGGTTTCGACTCACGACCACTCGAAGCCACTCTTACTCGACTCGGACCGAGACCTTACCGAGGCGGCCTACGACGAGGCTGATAAGGTCCACGTGGTGGGGATCAACGAGGCCGGAGACGACGACTGCCAAACGCCGCCGTTTTCATGGAAGAAGTTGTGGCTGTTTACCGGACCCGGGTTCCTGATGAGTATCGCGTTTCTGGACCCGGGGAATTTGGAGGGTGATCTTCAGGCGGGGGCGATAGCTGGGAACTCGCTGCTGTGGCTGCTGATGTGGGCGACGGCGATGGGGCTGTTGGTGCAGCTGCTGTCGGCTCGGCTCGGGGTGGCGACTGGGCGACACTTGGCGGAGCTGTGTAGGGAGGAGTACCCGACGTGGGCGAGGATGGTGCTGTGGGTGATGGCGGAGCTGGCGCTGATTGGGGCGGATATACAGGAGGTGATCGGGAGTGCGATTGCTATTAAGATTTTGAGTAATGGGGCTTTGCCGCTCTGGTCTGGAGTCGTCATAACAGCTTTGGATTGGTAAACTTTTGGAATTTACCCTTTTTGTGTTTTTGGATCGTTTTCCTTGAATTTTTCTGGGTTTTTGATATTCAGTTTGATTTTTTTTTTAACCAATTTTCAGAAAATTCGTAAAGACTTTGCTGGATTATTAAACAAAATTTGTAAAGCAAATGATGACACGGTGGATGATTAGGTTATTATTTAAATACTGATTAACGTGCTTATTTTCTATTAATGGCATATCATTTGATTTGTAAATTTAGTTTAAAAATCTGATCTTCCTAATATTATCCTATATTTTTTGAAGTTCTTAGTCTGTTGACTCTTTTTGGCTGCCTGGGAAATTTATGTATTTGTTACTGACAAATGTTTTGGTTTTGAGGTTCAAAAGGTTAAAATTTCTGATGGTCCAAGCCTGAAGTTTCTTGCTTTTCCTACATTGTATTTGAACTGAACCGAAACTTCAAGGTTAACTTGCAGCTATTATAGGTGTTAACTTCAAACTGTTTTATTTTGTTGCCATGTTACAGTTTCATCTTCCTGTTTCTCGAGAACTATGGAGTGAGGAAGCTGGAAGCAGTTTTCGCGGTTCTAATTGCAACAATGGCGCTCTCATTTGCGTGGATGTTCGGGGAAGCAAAGCCTAGCGGCACTGAACTTCTGATTGGTATTCGACTTACTCCGAGTTTATATGTTTGAAACAGTTTCCGTGGTTTGAGGCCACAAAATTTCGAACAAACATACTGCAATGCTCCTCTGCGTATAATTAACTGTCATTTCCTCTTTCTAGGTATAATTGTCCCGAAACTTAGCTCCCGAACAATAAAGCAGGCTGTTGGAGTTGTGGGTTGCATAATTATGCCTCACAATGTATTTTTGCACTCAGCTCTAGTACAGTCAAGGGAGGTTGATCACAGCAAGAAGGGACGAGTTCAAGAAGCTCTGAATTACTACTCCATAGAGTCAACCGTCGCTCTTGTCATCTCCTTCGTCATCAACCTATTTGTTACCACCGTGTTTGCCAAGGGGTTTTATGGTACGCAAATAGCAGATAGCATAGGCCTTGTAAATGCGGGGCAGTATCTCCAAGAAAAGTATGGGGGCGGGTTGTTCCCGATTTTGTACATTTGGGGTATCGGGTTATTGGCAGCTGGCCAGAGTAGTACTATTACAGGTACCTATGCCGGGCAGTTTATAATGGGAGGTTTCTTAGACCTGAGATTGAAAAAATGGATGAGGGCATTGATTACACGAAGCTGTGCAATTATCCCAACGATAATAGTTGCTCTTGTATTTGATACCTCGGAGGACACACTGGATGTTCTGAATGAGTGGCTTAATGTATTGCAGTCAATTCAGATCCCTTTTGCACTTATTCCCCTGCTTTTCTTGGTGTCAAACGAGCAACTCATGGGGTCTTTTAAAGTTGGCCCTGTTCTCAAGGTATGTTGTTATTTCCTTTCTTCTGCAGGAAGGCCGTAAGGTCAATAATGGCATTTGCATTTCAACTTTCTGTATTGATGCAAATGAATCAAATTAGAATGTGTGTGAGCAGAGTACGCATGCCGTCAGTTATGTAGTCGGGTTAATCATGTCATATGTTGGTGTTGTCGCAATTGCTTTATTTTGCTTTTACTTTTTCCCTTTTATTTCTGATGAGATTATTGTTTTGTGATTTGGTACAACTTATGTATTATCATGTCATAGATTACAGCTACGTCTCTTTAGGTGGACCAAGTTTTAGAGCTAGGTTTCTCTTATGAACTAGTAAACCGCAATAATGAGTTCACTGCTCCTATGGGCTCGATAATGTACCATATACTTGTACACAGAATAGGACAATATGGTGACTGTCCGTGTAGTCTAATTGTAAGATAATTCTTGGCTATTTGCTGCAGATTTGATCATAGAATAGCATTTTAGAGGACTGATTTAGTGGTTGTGCTAGCATTCAAGCTTTTCATCAAGTGTTCTGGAATGCCTGGTCGAATGTTGTTCTTTTCGTCCTTTTTACCTTTGCTTAGGGGGTTGAGAAAAGAAGTTGTCTCCATGAATTGAATTCATTGTCTCCATATGAATTGAATGTTCATAAGTTAATTACCGTACGATGTGTTCAAGCTGTTCTTCCCTTATCTTTTCCTTTCTTTATTATATTGTGTATGCGTTAGAATTCAGTGCTCATATCTTTTTTTATTTTCTGTGAAGATGGTTGCATGGCTTGTGGCAGCCCTGGTGATGGTAATCAATGGATACCTTCTGTTCGACTTCTTCGCCTCTGAAGCAACTGGTTGGTTGTTTAGTGTCGGAGTGTCTGCTTTTACCTCAGGGTATGTAGCATTTATAGTTTACCTTGTTTTGCGGGGGATCAACTTTTCAAGCTGTTGCGGATCAAAGAGATCGATGATACAGTGAGCTAAGTAATCACCAATGTTGACTGAAATTGCAAGAGAATCATGCTGTATTTGTAATTGCCGCATCCTCAATAGTTCTGTAGCTGCAACGTTGTATTAAGTTAACTTGGAACGATATTGGAATTAGCCATGTAATAATACTATGTACTTCATTGGTTTTCTCCTTATTTCAAGCCATAGTTAAGGACATGATGAGTTTGAGATTGCATTTGGAAAGGTAATAGCGTTTTCAGATAATCAAAAGCATTTCCGCCTCCATTTGCTGGAGAAATTTAAAATTGCTTTTGAATTATAAAAGCAATCCTTGTTTGTTACCTTCGATGAAGGATTGATGAAATATACTAGAAACAAAAGGGACCTCACCCGGAGGCGAGTCCACCATCTCTGTCAATTTACCTGCCTTATATGGATCAACATTGAAAGGCAGCAACAGTCATAATTCCTCGAGAATTTCAGAAGCTTCAAAACTGGAAAGAATCTTAAACTTTGGAATTCTGGAGTCGCCCACTTCAACTTCCCGGCTTGTAACATGGCGATCCAAGAAGCCGGGCTCGGAACAAACCCTATCAACCAGAGCGGGCAGCCTGTCATTTTTCATCCGGAAGAAACAAGCACATGGAGAAACTCAGCTTTCTCAGCTTTTCCTTTTCTGTATCGGAGCTTTAAGGTCTTGAAGCCGTCAAGGGCTTCGACATATTGGCCCTCGTAGTTGGTCATGGAGGATGCCTTAACTGATGATCTGCCATTGAGAAGGTGAAAGGCACACTTGCTCGTTTTCAATGCATTAAAAGTACAATGCATTCGCAAATTGATGAGCCTTTGTTATGCTGTTAACCGACCCAGGAGAAAGAACCTCTTTGATCAGGCCTCGAGTCTCGTTTCGGGCCCCCACGGATTCAACTCTCACTTCTTCAGCCTTGGTCTGGAAATCCACTTCCTTTCGAGCCGCCTTGTAAAAACTGTCCATCACCTCTTTGAAACAAGACTTGAGAGGGAGCGACTTGTCAGCCCAGAGGCCATTGGCGAAGGACAAAGAAGGCCCGCCACTGGGAGACCCGTCGGCAAATACCAGAGGCAAGGGCGTTGAGGTCGGCGGTGGACTAGGCATTGAGGAAAGAGAGCAACTCTTTCTCGGCGGGATCCTTTGTACCGGCCGCGATCAGACTCAGCAAAACGTGGATTGAAAGCGGCAAGTACACCATGTTCCTCTCTTTGGCCCCTTGGTTGAGAAACAACTGCTTCGTCATTCTTAGTCCGAAGTCGGATTGGTTACTGATGGGCTCCATCGTCGTTGCCCGAGGAGCCGCAGAGGTGGTAAGAGTTCGTATGCCGTTGTTGTGAATAGAGGAGGGGAAACGAGAAGGAGAAAGAGGTCGCGTGTTGAAGGAGGAAGACAGTTTCATTGAAACGAGAGACGCCATTGCCATCGAGTTCTCTTCTCCTACGACAGAAACACCTTCTCTATCGTTAAACCCTAAAATATGGCGTAACCTGGGCCTTTCAGTGACTTGGCTCACAGGATTCTCTGCTGCCAATTGTTTGCAAAACTAACAAATCTTTCTTTTGACCAAAAAAAAAAAAAATCAATAATATCTTTCTATGATAAACAAAACAATAAAACATACACGCATTTTTAGCACACATTTTGTAGTGCTCAATTCAGTGTCAGACATAATGAATACAAGGACTTTGAGAAAACTCTCTTTTAGTCTTATTTTATGACTTTAAAGTGTATGAAGTTCCATTTTTGTTTCACTTCGTAATGTGTTTTAACGATTCAACTGTCTATCTTTTCGATCTTTCTTCTACTATTTTGTTCACCAAAAATCACCCTAATTTGAAAGGAAATCATATGACCGTTAAATTAAATGATGGCCATTTTAGTGTTTCTTTGCAAAATAGTGTTCGTTTATTTTGTTCACTACAAGTGAATGTCTTAATGATTTTAGATTTGTCTCAAGTAAGTTTGTTACTAGGGTGGCAAGTGGTCCTCTACCATAGTGGTGGAGAGAAACGTTGCCCTTGCACCATAGTGTGAGTTCAAACTCTGTTAGCTCTTAATCTAACATCTAATCTTACAAATCTATCGTTTGATAAAGAAAAAGTTTGCAACTAGTGTGGGCAAACGGGCCTTAAGCTTGAGGGTTTGGACGAGTACAGAGCGGGTTTAAATATTTTGGATTCGGCTTCTCTGCTCTCCCAGTTCTCATGCACTCATATCCCCTCCTATTTGTGTGGTTACGGTTAAGCCACGTCAACATTTTATATCAATATTGCTTTTTGTCTTATTATTTTTATAAAAAAATCAATATAAAATATTAACATGACTTAACCATGATCGTACAAAATAGAAAGAGATACGAGTGTATAAGAACGGAAGGGTGAAGAAGCCGAGTCCAAATACTTTGGAGTAGAAACGGGGCCCAATAGGAGTGGGTTCAAACCGAACACCAAATCAAAGCGGAAAAATCAACAGGGAAAAAAAATCAAGCGGAATTAGAAAAGTGGAACCTAACCGATTTCGATAAGTTTAGTTTTCATTTTAAGAGTTGAGAAACCTAACCGAACTGGACCGAACCGAAATCGTGTAAGAGGACGCAGTTTTGTATTTCATTTAGCCCTAGTCCCTAACCCTCGCCTCGCTGCGTGCTGACTCGCTCACCTCACCCCACGCCGTCTCGCCTAACCCCGCGGGCTTCCTCTTCCCCTCGAGTCCTCGACGTCAACGTCGCCGTGTCTTCTCTCGACAGTTAAAGCACGATTCTCAGTTCAAAGCTCGGTTCTTGGGGATTAAAGCTCGACATCGATTCGTGGGGATCAAATTCCGTCTGCAATTCCAGGTGAGTCTCTTCTCTCCACACGTTCTCTGCAATTCCATCTGATTCTATGCAATTTGAGCAGATTTTGATAATCTGATTCTATTGCAATGAATCGTTCTCAGGTAGGGTTTAGCTGTTCCTTCCTTTTTCGACTTGCTTGGTTCCGAGAAAATTCGAGAAAATGAAACTTTTAGGAATAAAATTTGTATCTTGTTTGCATGCTTTGATTCGACTCAAACAAAATATTAGGAATAAGTTCTGTTTCCGATAGTTGTGTACCCTGTGCAAAGGGAGTGGAACAATGAAATTTCGAGGGACGAGAGTCAGCCTCGGTCCCAAGTATGAAATTTTCATGGTTTTACAGAACCATCCACATGCCCATAGGACTTTGTCTCACTAGGCTGCACAATCTGGGAAATTCCAGATTGGTTTTGGGACACACTGCTTGATTTGTTCCCTCTCTGATTTTCTCATAGGAGTTCTTGCTTGCACACTTCCCTTCTTAGCGCTTTGTTTGCCCGTTGCCCTGCTAGATGCTTGCGTTGTTTTCCGTTCAGGGGTACCCTTAGAAGCACCTCGTGCAACTCCATCAGATACTAGTGAACCTCCATGTGAAATATCATGTGAGATGTTTGCATCCAGCTGGCCTGAACCAGAATTTTGTATAGATTGTTTAGGGTTCGTTTGTGTCCGTTGCTAGAAGTAAGTGAGAGCTCACTCAGTGCCCATTTCCCCAATTCAAACACTCGAATTAGTGTTTCAATTCAGTTTCCTGCTTCTGCGCCTTGGACTGTGTAATTTTTTAGGGTTCGTATACATTTCTCTTCTCTCTCTCTCTCTCTCTCATGATGTTTATTTAATTTATGATGTTAGTTTGTAATTTGTACACGCGGTTGAATGCAAAATATATTTTTCATCTAATTTTTAATTCCTGGGTTTTGTAATTACATTACTGTGGGTTTGGAGTTGGACACTATTTTTGGGTTCTTATTGTAATCAATTTGAAATAAGGGGGTAATATTGAGATGATTGGACCAGGAAAGTTTTATTTGTTTGGCTGGTCTTATCAGAAAATTTTAACACAAAGCGTTGATATTTCTTGCTATGCCTTGACTGAGAGCATCTTGAAATTTGAATGCGAAACACTGAACTATTTGCGCATTCGGTTTTTCAATTCAATATCAGAAATATTGCTAATAATTGAAACCCTGATGCACCCAGAGATTTTACAGGGTTTTATGTCTGCTTGAGTCATTGATACTCCATTACTCCCAGCAGGGTTAATTTCACTATAAGGATTGTCTGGTTTTTATTGTTAGGGCCACAGGAGAGCATTTCTGCATGCTCTCTTGACAAGAGTACTCTTTCACTCTAGTGTTGCTTATGTTTTCTTGTTTTCATTGTCTCTCCTGAAACAGGTGTAGATTTGCATTAACCATGGTTGATGTGGAACAAGTTCTGGAAAGTGATGCACCAAGCTCTCTAATCGATCAGCTTGGTGATGCATTACTGGAACTAAATGCACACAATGATACTTCTGAGGACCGGGTTCAGTGGGAAGAAATTGAAGAGCATTTCCGCAACCTTGAGACAACACTGAGGAAGAATTTTGAAGAGCTCGAAGCCAAGGAGAAGAAATTTGCGGAGCAGGAAGCTGAAACCTGTGCTTCACTTGCGGAGAGAGAGGCAGCTGTTATTGCTAAAGAGCAAGACCTTTTGGATCGAGTGCAGGAGCTAAAAGATGCAGCTGTTGCTGCTATTTTTGAGGCACGAGTCATTCACCAGCCAACAACTTCAAAACCTGTGGATGATGGGGATAACAAAAACAGCAAGGTAAGCAGCTCTCTTGGTGATACAAATTCATCAGAGGAGGATTTTCCTCATAAAACAGGTGATAATGCTGAGGGTACGGCTTCTGAGATTAAGCCACGCCCAGCACTGATGCAATTTTGCGAGCAGATGGATGCAAAAGGGCTTCTGAATTATGCTACTGAGAATTATAAAAAACTAAATATTATTCGTGAGGAACTTTCTGTTGCACTAGAAAGTGCAGGTGAACCAGCACGATTGGTGCTGGATTCACTGGAGGGGTTTTACCCTCCGGATGAGACTAACCAACCAGAGGGTAAGAAGGATGCTGCCCTTCAGGGCATGCGCAGATCCTGTCTAATGTTTATGGAAGCCATGACTGCCTTATTGGCAAAGGTTGACCCAGGTGCTGATCACCTTTTGAACCCTGACACCAAGCAGCAAGCCAAAGCAATTGCTGATGAGTGGAAGCCTAAGTTGGCTAGTGCCGGCACTGATGCTGCCAATGGAATTTCATTGGAAGCAGAGGCATTCTTGCAGCTCCTCGCTACTTTTAGGATTGCTTCTGAGTTTGATGAAGACGAACTCTGCAAGTTTGTTCTTGCAGTTGCTCACCGCAGGCAGACACCTGAGCTCTGCCGCTCTCTTGGTTTAACACACAAAATGCCAGGTTGGTCATCTTTTAACTAGCTGACCTGATGCGCTCTGGGGGCTAAAGCTCTGTTTAAGATGTCCCTTACACTATATTCCTTTAGGCCTTGGTAGTAAATCATGTTAGTTGAGAAGTTGGGATAGATGCAACATTCATTTTGCTGCGTAGTGATAATTCTTCTCTGGTAAGATGGGTCCTTTGGATTTTGGGAGCAGATTATTCTAAAGCGCTATAGTTTCTTGCAGGTCTTGTTGAATCAATGGTCAGCAGTGGGAAACAAATTGATGCTGTACGTTTTATTCATGTCTTCCAGCTTACTGAAAGTTATCCCCTTGTGCCACTTCTAAAGACGTACTTGAAAGATTTGAGGAGAAATTCACAAGGGGACAACACAGGAGATGGTACTGGTGCACAGGTATATTTTAGTCAGCCACAGACGCGAACCATTTCAGTAAAAAAGAACTTTTCTGATGATTTTTTGTTTCAATAAAATGTAGGATGATGTTAATGCAAAAGAGCTTGCTGCACTGAAGGCCGTAATAAGGTGCGTTCAAGAGTTCAAGCTTGAGGCTGACTACCCACTTGATCCACTACAGAAAAGGGTCCATCAACTAGAGCGATCCAAAGCTGATAAGAAGAGAAGTAATGAATCTAAACGTCAACAGCAAAAGAAGCAAAAAATCAGTGGAAGATGGCGTGGTTACCGTGGGCCAGGTGTTGCTGCAACCTCTGCCCCTGCTGCTGCTAGGCACGGGCAACCTGTTTTTGGTGATAGGGCGGGATATGGTGGGATATTGGAGAGGTATGCCCAGCGTCCACTCACATACGATTACCAAGTTCCCAGCCAGCCTGCTTATGTTCCACAAGCTAATGATCAAAGGTTATATTACTATCCCCAGGACGACAGAGTCAAACCAGCCCCTTATAATGCTACTCCATCCAATTATGGCGGTTACGCTGGCAGTGGAATGCAGTCTCAACGCCAGCCGTACATGTAGCCAGTAGTGTAGAATAGCCGGCCTATGGGCAGAGGACGCAGGACAAAGCATCGGATTACCATTTTGCTTTTCCCACCTAGCATTGTATTTTGATGTGCCTTGCAGATATATTTGCTGCTCGGAATCTGAAAGAATATTTTGTTTTGGCTGCGATTCCGGCTGGTGAGAAATTTGTAGGAGTTAACTTTTCTAGTTAAAGAGGCCATGAAGATCTCCATAACAGAAAAGCATTGTACTGAAAATTTTGCTAAATGGTTATGGGTAACTGTAGGCTTTCCTATTGTTGACAATAACACTGATTATGTACGTGTACGGTGTTTTCCTCCGTAACGGTTAATTAGCTTGGCGCGTATAGAAAACTTTTTTATACAAGAGAAATGCGCCAAAATGATCAATTAATATATGATAATGATTGCTACGTCGTTTATATTTGAGTTTGGTGAGATCAACAATTGAAATCTGATAATCTTATTAAAATATCGCTCGAATAAAAAATCAAATAAAAAGTAAGATAATTTTGTTTAAGATTTAGCCTTTCATGTTTGAATTATTTTTTTAAAAAAAAGAGTCAATGAATACGAGAAATTATGAAGTGTTATCGTCAGCTCATGATACAAAGGGTTAATTACACAAACATCTTCTGAGGTTTATCAAGTTTTCACAAAATCCCTTCACATTTGAAACATTACATTAACATCCCCTCACGTTTTAATTCATTTCACATAACCCCTGAAGTCAAAATTTTGCTAATAAATGGACAACTTTACCCTCGTAACTAATTAATTAAATAATAAAGAAATATATTAAAAAAAAATATTAAAAATAAATAAATTAAACATTAAAAAATAAATTAAAATTTTAAAATCAAATAAATCAAATGCAAACCTTTATCAAGTTACTGTTAGTCCAAACATCAGGCTGGCATTGCGGGAGAGTCTTCATAAGGTTAAGAATAGAAAATGCATCATAAGTTAGATTGTTCAGACAAGGATGAAAATTTTCTTAATTTTTCTTTAGATGAAGGGCAAAAACCTCAAGAGCATAAAGACACTGCTTCTTCCTAATGGTGTTGGACAGGGCCTCGGTGACAGTGTTGACCTAGGCCTTGGCATTGTTCTTCCGATCCACCTTATTCTTCACATTTTTCAAAGAGGAACGAGCGGAGATGAAGCGGAAGGAGCAAAGGTTTTTTTTGTAAGTCACCGGAGTCGATGTATCCGAGACGCCAGGGAACTCACCTCTCTCCCAGTGGAGTTTTTGTTGAGAGCAAGAAGATGCGGGATGAGAAAGGAAGAAAATGAGAGAAAGATTGAAGAAGCCATGGATGGCTTTGGCCTGCAAAATTGTTAAAGTAGTGACGGGATGGTGAGTAGTGAGGGTGGGCAGGGGAGAGGAAAAGGATTAAGGTGGCAATGGTGGGACAACGAGAAAGGAAAACGGTGGGGGGTGGAATTGGGGAAGGAGTTTAGGTTTACTTTTTTTTTTTTCTTTTCTATTTGTAAGTTTTTAATTTATTCTTTTAATGTTTAATTCATTTTTAATGTTTTTTTACTAATATATTTTTATTTAATTAATTAGTTATAAGGGTAAAGTTGTCAATTTACTAGTAGAACTTTGACTGAAGGGGTTATTTGAAAGTGAACTAAAACGTGAGGGGTGTTAGTGTAATGTCTTAAATGTGAGAGAGTTTTGTAAAAACTTGATAAACCTCAGAAAGTATTAATGTAACTAACCCATCATACAAACCAAATTAACTGACAAAAAAGGAAATAAAAAAGAAAAGAAAATTATTTTCTTGTTTCTCTCCAAGTAATTGTAATTTGGTCAGAAACTGAAATAACTAAATTTGGGGTCGTGCACGACTCTGACTTCCCTCCCTTTCTTAAAAAACTCCGTTATTTCACTCGATTTCCGATCTGGCATCTCCGCCACCACTCCTCATCTTCCAGCTGCACCAATGGCAGCAACACTGCGCCACCTCACCACCTCCGCTTCCATCTCCGCCGTCCTCCTCCTGATCTTCTTAGAGATGGAGCTTTTGTGTCTGGTCTCGTCCAATCCCAGCACCCCTGCCCTCATTCTCCACTCACTCCCAGCCATGGTCTTACCTCTCTACCACTCCACTCCAAATTCGTCGTCCCGGACCTCATCGTCGTCCAATCCCCGGCGCCTCCTCGGGAGATCGGAGTCCCTCAACCGCCCCAACGCCCGCATGAGCCTCTACGACGATCTCCTCCGCAATGGGTACGCTAAAATTTTCCTTTTAATTTTCGGATTGAGTTTGTGATTGGTAGTATTTGGATTGGGATTGAAATTTGTGTGGTGGTGGTGGCCGCGGCGGCGACAGGTACTATACAACGCGGCTTTGGATCGGAACGCCGCCGCAGAAGTTTGCGCTAATTGTGGATACTGGGAGCACTGTGACCTATGTGCCTTGCTCTTCTTGCGAACAGTGTGGCAGACACCAGGTAATTTTCTACTGCATCACATTCTTCATCTACTACTGAATCTGAATGTGTAAACATAGCGATGCGAAATAGGAATGTTGGGATAGAGTTGATTTCGAAACGGCATGTTGGGATAGAGTTGATTTCAAAACCGCTCGTTGCAGCTAGCTACATTGTGAGGCTGGGATCAGATCTCCTTAGTTTTACACCGAGTAATGGGGCTAATGTAAATCATGCTCACCTTGTTAACGATAAGAAACATATACGAAGATGTTATAATCGCGGGAAAAAACTAGAACGAAGGCTCACTGGGAAATTTTGGATGAAGGCAGTCGATCATGTTCACTCTATAACTGAAAACAATAGTTAGATTAACAACCCTTAGGTTGGTTATTTCTGTTTACCACAAAACTTTCCTGAACACTAGGTACTTTTGTGTGCAGAGGAAACTTGGTAGATTTCAGGTTGTAACTATATTAATGTTGTGTTTTTAACTCTCGATCAGGACCCCAAGTTCGATCCAGAAGGCTCAAACACTTACCAAGCTGTCAAATGCAACATAGATTGCACTTGCGATAATGAGAGGGTGAATTGTATTTATGAGAGGCAATATGCCGAAATGAGTAGTAGCAGTGGGGTGCTTGGTGAGGATCTTATATCCTTTGGCGATCAAAGTGAACTACCACCTCAACGTGCAGTTTTCGGTTGCGAAAATTTTGAAACTGGTGATCTTTACAGCCAGCCTGCTGATGGCATAATGGGATTGGGCCGTGGCGATCTAAGTGTGGTCGACCAACTTGTTGATAAAAGCGTAATAAGCGATTCTTTCTCATTATGTTATGGTGGAATGGACATTGGTGGAGGTGCAATGGTTCTTGGTGGGTTTTCAGCCCCGTCAGACATGGTCTTCACTCGTTCAAACCCAGTACGAAGGTGTGTGGTTTAGAAAAATTTCTCTTACATAGACTGCAACATGTCCAATTTCCTAAAAAAATACAATCTATACATCTCACACATTTACTCTAGTTTCGGGATGGCAACAGTCCATACTACAATATTGATTTGAAGGAGATGCATGTTGCGGGAAAGCGATTGCCTTTGGATCCAAGTGTCTTTGACAGAAAACATGGAACAGTCTTGGACAGTGGTACAACATATGCATACCTACCAGAAGCAGCATTTCTGGCATTTAAGGATGCTGTAAGATTCTCTTTTGCCCTTATTAATTACCCTTCAGATTACATTTTGACTTAATTTTCGTACATGACCATATAATTAAATATTTTTGCTTATCCTCAATCTTTTACATGATACCTTGCAATTATTTATAAATGATAATGATTGCAAACCTCTTTTTAAACTTTGAGTTGATGAACATTTGGTCAACTAGAACTGAGAGAGGATGATCTTGTCCGAGTTAAAGGAAATAATTATTATGTATGATTAACTCGAAACTCCATTCTATTTTAATTTTAGTTTGGGTGGAATACTTGCACTTCTTCATTTGAAATGAATCTTAGCATTTGAAACACTTTGGTTTCCCAGAAAATCCCTCTGTGTTTATTTTTGACTGATTGCAGGTTTAGTTATCTTGTATTTCATCCTATTATATAGTTTCTTCTTTCATTGAGTGCAGATCATGAAGGAGCTTAATTCCCTCAAGCAAATCCCTGGCCCTGATCCAAATTTTAATGATATATGCTTTTCCACTGCTGGAAGGTATTCAGTACTAGGTTTAATTTGTTGTTCAGATAAATTAATTGCCTTTTTCTAGTGGAAACCAAATTATAAGAAACCCTATTGAAGCCACAATTGCAAAATCCACATTTTTGCAATTAAATCGTGAGTAATGTCCGACCAATAAATGCTCAAGTTTCTTTCTAATGATTTCTCAACGTTGATTTAGTGATGTCTCCCACCCATCAGACACCTTTCCAGAAGTTGACATGATATTTGGCAATGGCGAGAAGTTGACTCTATCTCCTGAGAATTATTTATTCAGGGTAAGTGATTGAACTTAAAAGCTCTGCTCCTTTCTAAATTCTGAATATAATTTTTTTTCAAATGTAAACACAATTTGTAACTTTTTATGTTTTATAGAACTTTGTGATTGTCTATTGGTTATGTCACTAATTAATTGTTTTTCTACTGTGTTATATCATTATCATTAATGAAGCATTCAAAGGTCCGTGGTGCATATTGCCTGGGGATTTTTCAAAATGGAAAGGATCCAACTACTCTTTTAGGAGGTATATGCTTTAGAAAGGTCCATTATTCTTCGTCCCACTTGTATATGTGTTCGTATACATGTATTGCCCTGTTTCATGTTATATCAATCGTTTAGGTTTTGCAATAGTTTCAATTAATTTTGTCATACAATTCTCATTTTCTTGATAGGAATTGTTGTCCGCAATACTCTTGTAATGTATGACCGTGCGCATTCCAAGATTGGTTTCTGGAAAACCAATTGTTCAGAGTTGTGGGAAAGACTTAATGAATCTGTTTCACCTCTACCAATGCCTCCTGCTTCAGATGAAAAGAATTCAACTACAGAAGCTCCAACTGGAGCACCACCTTATGTACTTCCAGGTAGTTTAGACTTGCAACCTTTTGAGTAGCTCATCGTAGAAGTTATTTAGGTGAATTTATCCTGTTACCCAAATCATTCGTTGGAAAACGAGATAGAAGTGAAAATTATAATTTTGTGGACACTCTACTCTACTTAAGGTTTATATATGGACCGTCTGTTAATTTTTTCTAATTATTTTTGTATCAACACGAATTGTATTTTGTGCTGCACGGTATTTGGACAGGAAACAACGTCTATTTGCAACCCCTTTTTTGTTTCATTTTTTAAGACAATTGAATTACAATACCTGTTAACCTTGATGAATCAGGTGAACAGGAAGTTGGAAAAATAACATTTGATATGTCTTTGAACATCAGCTACTCAGATCTGAAGCCCCACATTACAGAACTAGCTGAATACATAGCTCAGGAATTAGAAGTTAACACATCACAGGTCTGGCAAAAACCATATGCGAACGTTCAATTGATATTTGCTTAATACTTTTTGACTAACAGTTCAAATTCAATACTATGCACTGATATATCTGTTCATAATGAAGTTTTATAGCTTAAGTTTTCAATTTCGAATTGATGATTTCAGGTCCATTTGTTGAAGTTTACTACCAATGGAAATGATTCCCTTGTTAAATGGGCCATATTTCCTGCAGCTTCTACCGACAGTATTTCTAATACAACTGGGCTGGTAAGTTTCCCCTGATGAATTGCAGCTAGTGACTGTGCCACTACTGAGGTTTATAACTGTTTGCAAGCTTGATGATCTGTTCTGCCTGCAGGATATAATTTCCAAGCTTTCCGAACATCGTTTGAAGTTTCCTGTTATGTTTGGAACTTATGAATTGCTCAGATGGCATGTTGAGCCTAAGGACAAAAGGTACGTTATATTTTTCACTTTCTAAGATACTTTTTATCTGAGATCACGTTATTTCTTTATTTGATTCTTTCCCCTTCTATACAATAATCAAAACAGAGTCTCTAAAATGAGTGTTGGCATATAGATAACGAATTAGCAATCTATATACAGATCACGGTATAATAAGTAGCCTCTTTGGTAATATTTTGTTCTTCCCGAAATTGAACAGGTCATGGTGGCAGCGAAATTATCTGGTGGTTTTATCAATTTTAGGAATTCTACTTATTGCATTAGCAGCTGTTGGATTTTGGTTTATATGGAGACATCGCCAACGGACAGCCAATCCCTACAAGCCTGTCAATGTTGCCGTTCCAGAGCAAGAACTCCAGCCTCTATGAAAATCCGAGAGCTGTCCTTGCTCGTGGCTGATGGCATGGCACGTCTGCCATTTGTATTTTGATTCACATGATAACCGAAACCAAAATTCTGGAATCACAAGTACTGGATTGATCAAGATTCTTGCTCCATGTGACGAATCATTCTTTGCAATGCCCATAAAACCCAGATGGTAAAGAGAGAGGTATAGGTAGAACAACTACTCACACTTTGGTTCTGTAAACATCATTGAATTAGTGTGTGAATCAAAAGTTTCCCGAATAAGGTCCTTTTTCGAGCAGTTTAAATTATTGTTCTTGTCCTGTTCATTTCTTCCGATTACCTTCTAGTGATACATGTAGGTATTATCGTATTCATCAGGCATCACTATCAATTTTTCCTTTTTGATTAGATGAAATGTGTTAAGAACTCAAAGGAGCAATGAGTGGATTATATTTGCTAACCATATTATCTGATCACATTTTCCGTCCAGCTACTACATTTGTGCTTTTTGCTATGCCGTTACATGTGACTGTGATTAGCCTTTGGTTTGTAGATGTTGCCTTTAATCCCACTTTACAGGTATAGATGATGATGATCCATGTGTGTTTTTTTTGTCACTAGTGTATAACAATATTGTCTCGAAAACTCATGCGAGGAGAACGAAAGAGACATGGATGGTATGCATGTGGGTCTGAGAGACCCAAACCCTCTGGTAGCTTTTGTCCTTAAGACAAAGTAATTTCCAACGAGAGATTTTTCAGTATGATAGGAACACATAATGGTACACTATATATTACTATACAAATGATGAAATATGTGTGCTAAAAGAATTAATAACTTAAAACATAAAATTTCTCACCACTTATATAAAAACATATGATGTACTACTTGTCACATCCCGAGCCCGCTCCACCACCGTAGCACGATATTATCCGTTTTGGACCTCAACCACGCCCTCACGGTTTGCTCCACTACCGTAGCATGATATTGTCTGCTTTGGATCCCGACCACGCCCTTACGGTTTTGTTTTTAGGAACTCAGACGAGAACTTCTCAGTGGGTCATCCATCATGGGATTGCTCTCGTGCGCACTCGCTTAACTTCGGAGTTCCGACGGAACCCGAAACCAGTGAGCTCTTAAAAGACCTCGTACTAGGTAGGGATAGGAATATACATATAAGGATCACTCCCCTGGACGACGTGGGATCTAACACTACTCGTGTTCCGATCACAATGAAAAATTTCTCATTTCCAACGTCGTCGTTTTTGAATGCTCCTCTAAAACCAAATACGTCGTATTGCTGAAAAAGTATCTATTATTGACGCTAGAGAAATTTTAGTTAGAGGATCGAAATGGTTAGATCGGTCGTGGAGATTTGGTTAATATTTAGGAGAATCGTTGGATTCCTCTGCCTTGATCATTTCACATCTTCACTCCAAAGCTAGCAAGTTGTGAGCTAACATTGGTCAAGGAGTTGATTCATGATTCCTCTCGGACTTGGAATATAAATCTCCTTGAGTCTCTCCTCTTTCCTATTGATTCGATTCGCCCAATTCCCCTCAGCATTAGACAACTTGATGATTGAGTATATGACCATGACAAAAATGGTGTATTTACAGTCAAAGGCGCATACCATATTACCATGTGGCCAGTGGACGGGTTTTGTTCAATTATTTTAGAATATAGAATGTGGAGGCTGTGTAACGACATAATTTCTCAAAGCTTCGTATTAAGGTTGATCAATCGTGTGTTCAAATGAAAAGACTATTCGCCTAATTTGGTCTTTCACTAATAAAATAAAAATTATTAAAGTACAAACAAAAAATATATAAATATAAAATTACAGATGGTTACAAATTAGAATGAAAGCAAATGAAAAAAAATATAAAATTACAGGTACATAGACTAGGGTTAGAAAGAGGAAAACAAAAAAGCCTTGAAGACTATGGGCAATATACACATATATTTTAAAGGCTATAGGCAATATTATATTTATGTATATTTTTTAAATCAACATTATCAGGGTTTACAAAAATCAGAGAGGGGCCATGGTCCGTCCTCTATAAGGATAACTACTTTTAATTAATTGAGTTACAAATTATTACGATCACTTCACAGCATAATTTAACAAAACGAAAAAAAAAATACATAAAATGAAATTCAAATTAAATCATCTCTTAAACGTTCCCCATCTTGTTTTTTTAGTTAAAACTTTTATGTTTACATGATATATTAATTTGATATTGGAGCTAGGGTGGTATTGGTAGATTACCGTATCAAAATCCATGTACCAATTACCATACCAAATTTTTGGTATGACAAAATATATTACCATTACCGTGCTAAACTTTCGGTATACCGAATTTCGGTATGCCAAATAGTTCGGTTGACATGGTATGGTAATGATAATTACCACTTTGTTTTGGGCCAAATTTTTTTTTCCCAACCCAATTCAAGGCCCAAATGTGTTTTGGCCACTCCCTTTGGGTTTCTAAAACTTTTTTTATTTAATTATGAGAATTTTATAGAGATTCATTTAAGAAACAAGAAGTAAATAAATAGAAGAATTGCTGAATGAACCCAATATCCCTAAAAAAATAGTACAGAGATTCCTAAATTTCATCTCTATGTTCTTTAAAATTTTACAAAAATTAACTTGATAGACCAAGCCAGGTAGAAAGACATCCCAATTTGATGAAGGAGAAGATGAGATGGACTTCGAAGAGAGAGAGTCGCCGAAACTGGAGCAACAAAGATGAAGTTTCCCAATTTGATGAAGGAGAAGATGAGATGGACTCCGAAGAGAGAGAGTCGCCGAAACTGGAGCAACAAAGATGAAGTTGATGGCTAGATGAGTGAAAAATGAAGAGTTGCAGCGCAAGAAGGCTTAGGTTTTTTTTATTGGGAAAGTAGAGGTTAGAGGGTGAGATGATTGGATAAATGATTAGGAAAAAAAAATATGAAGTGCATATATAATGATAATAATACCTAATTATATATAAATGATATAATATTAATAGTAGTGGTATGGTACTGTATACCGCTAGTAATGATTTTGAATATCATTACCGTACCAAAAATGTATGGTACGGTACAAATATTGTACCATTACCAATGGTACAATTTTTTTAACATAACTTTGGTATGGTATGGTTGATATGGTAATTTGGCAAAAAAATTACATCCCTATATTTGAGTATATAGGTTGTACGGTTGTACCATTTGAGTTTAATATCTGGATTGTAAATAATGTGTAATCGTCATTAAAAAATAATTCCTATAAGGAAATGACTTATATGCCTTAATTTTTTTTTCTCTCACCACTTTTGTTTTTGGGTTCTTCTATTCCGTTTTTGAAAATTTGCCAATAATTTCATCTAGATTTCGTTCAAATTGATTAAAAAGCCCCTTTGTGGTGAAATTTGGTGTTCGAATATGTGGAGTTCTGTTCAAATTGATCATTTATATACATTAAACAAATCCGCAATTTAGTAAGAACAATAACAATGCACCCAAACTAAAGGAAAAAGAAATAAGGAAAAAAAAAAGAAACCTTACCAGTTAAGGATAGTTTTGCAATTTTAAGTTTTCTTAAAACGCTTTTCCATTTCCTTTTTCGGATTTGACAAAATGGTTTGTTTCTAAAAACAATTTCCAAAACAAAAAAAATTGTAAATGGTAACCGCTGTCGGCGTAAGAGGAAAATCGATCCTTCTAGCGGCTATCGAATTTCAGTCAAAATAAAAAAAAAATCATAAATTAAGTTTCATTTATTTTTGTTAGAACCCTATGCTACATCTTTTACAATTGCATAGAGAGATAGGTAACAGAACATGAGAACAACAATACAATTTCATCCACTCATTTCCAATTGCTAAAACCTGTTATTTATCTTATAACTACTAACAACCATTTACACATGTCATCATCTTATTAAGCCACTTGGCAGTATCTTATCAATACCCCCCTCACAAAGTAAGATTACAATTGAACTAAGACTATCACAAATTTTCAATCTTAGGAAACTTCATCTTTAGTTCATGATATAGTTCCCAAGTTGCATCAACCTTGGAATGGTTCTGCCATCCACAATACACCCTCCCAAAAAATGAGCAATGGTATTGACCAAATCATTTGCCACTGAAACACGACACCCATTTTCTAGCTTTAGCATGTACTTTGCACCAATGAAAGCTACATCCAACTTCCTCTGCTCAGCGTCATCTTTACTAAGATGGTAAAGAATAACATCTCTCATTATCATAAATCTTCCACCCGTTAATAAACCAGACATGAAAGTTGTATCGTAGATCCAAGACACCTTTTAGTAACATATGAGAAACATATGTAGCTGTAAGAGCATGATACAAGACACCTTGCAGTTCGTCAAAACCCAAGTTGACAGTAACCAGATATTCACTGTCAAATTTCCCATCAATGGTTCCCATGATTGAAGAGCCAAGCTGCACCTCTGCACTTTCCTGACCTGGAAACTGGTTTCTACTCATACCTTCCTCTATGGTGGCTGACCTATTGAAAAGGTCCTTGCTTACAGGTTCAAGCATTGGGGTGTTAAAACCGCTTCATGGAGATAATAGGCCTGTTTAAAGTGATACAATAAAGACAAGTAGTACTTCCGTAAGACAAACGAAGCATTGGTAATTATCGTTGGAATATTGAAGGCCACAATCACTTCCTTCCATTTGTATCTCTAATCACCTTGTCAAGCCCACCACGAGATGTGACTTCAACAAAAAAGAGATGTAGATCCAGAGATTTTCCTCCAACAGTAGGAATCCTGAATTTTGAGCCACCACCCTTATCCCAAATTCCCTTGCAATAGTCACGATCAAGAACAACACAGTAACCATTTCTAAATCTGGAGAGAGTGAACTTTCTTTCATGTTTTCTATTCTTGTCCATACAAGCTTCTAAATGATGCAATCCCAAATTACCAACATCCTCCCCATCAATGATCATGGAAGAATCAAAACTCACCTCACATTTGATCACCTTGGAACAATCAAAACCAAGAACACAATCTTTATTCTTGGACTTCGAGTTGATGAGCCTTTGACTAATTATTCCGCCCTTGTCACTCCTTTGCAGTAGTAGCCCATGGAACAATTGATAACAACACAGAAACCTGAGTCCTCACAGCTTACCAATAAATCCATTGACTCAAAACTGGAGAGAAACTTGGTACCACTTTTATCACGAATGCCCGCATGGTAGCTAAGTTTAATACCAAGAATGTAACCTGAGTTCAACATTTTGTCAAACAGGCAGAGTGCACGATGTTGGAAATGTGCCCTAAAACCAATCATATGATGATACTTTATGAACATTTCACATGTTAAACTAATCTAGTTTAATATTAAGGGCAAACATTATTGTTTGAGCCGTCTCATATAAATGTTATATGCTTAAACGATAAGTCCAAGGAATATGTGATTGGAAGAA